TCGTTGTTGTCGGGAAAGGGATAATGACTAATGAGACTTTTGAATCCCTGGATTTATCTGAGCAAACTTTCGAAGCTATCAAGGAAATGGGATTTCAGCACATGACACAAGTACGTAAAATCTGAATCTTTTTCTGATGTTTGGACCGGGCAGAGTTTGTTTTCTCGTATCTGAATCATTTTATATCATTCAGATTCAAGCCGGATCAATTCGGCCTCTTTTGGAAGGAAAAGATGTTCTTGGTGCTGCCAGGACTGGTTCTGGTAAAACCCTTGCTTTTCTCATTCCGGCTGTAGAGTTGCTGTTTAAAGAGCATTTCACTCCTCGCAACGGAACAGGTGTGATTGTTATTTGCCCCACAAGGGAACTTGCTATTCAGGTAAATTTCCTTTTTTTATCTACGTAAGGCATTTCAACTTAGCAGCAACCATACTGTCATTGTGAGTAGATGAGTCTTGTGATTCTTGCAATTCGTTCTAGGTAGAACAAATCTGTGAGGGTCTCATCTTCATGTAGATGATTCATTGCAATTGTGTTGGATTTGTAAAGTTTGAATATTGTTGTATGTTACTGCAGCCTCCCATTCCCATTTTTTACGGTATTTTGATTTTTCACAGACAAAAAATGTGGCGGAGGAGCTACTCAAGCATCATTCACTGACAGTTAGCATGGTTATTGGAGGCAATAACAGAAGGTCAGAAGCACAACGTATTGCAAACGGTTCAAATTTGTTGATAGCAACTCCTGGGCGTCTTCTTGACCATCTTCAGCATACAAAGGGTTTCATTTTTAAAGACCTGAAGGTACTGTTCTTTTAATTGTTCTATTTGGCGTGTGTTCTTGTCTTCTTTTTGTGAAGTAGATGTTAAAAACTATTACTGTTGAGCCACATGGACATCATTTTTTATAAACAAACAATACAAATAAAAGAGCCATAGATGAATTGTAGACAGCAGCTTATGCTCTATCAATTTCTGCCGCCTCTGTGATAGAATTAGAGAGGAAAAACTACAGACTGTTAACGAATAATTAGATTTTTGGGTTGTATTCGTTCTGGTAGTTGAAATGTGAATACTCGGCTTTATGCTATAGATGTTTCTAATGGATATTTTTCTTTCTATATGTTCCTCTAAATTGCAGTGCCTTGTGATCGATGAAGCTGATAGGATACTGGAAGAAAATTTTGAGGAAGACATGAATAAGATTCTTAAGATTTTACCAAAGGTAAATCATCTCTTTGGATCTTAATTAAGGTCTAGGTGAATTCTAATCTCTCAGTAACAGGATTTCTTTTCCTTTTTCGTGTAAACTGTAAAGTTCTCCTTTAAAGCAACATGCCATGGTATTGCTGTTCTCCTCAGTGAAAATCTACTAGCGAAATAGTTTTGTTGAATTTTGTATGTTCAAATGTCTACACAAATCAAGGTTTTGGCATTAGTATCTTTTGGATTTTGTTCTGATTAAAGTTCTTACCAAGCTTCTGCAGACTAGGCAAACAGCTCTATTCTCTGCCACCCAGACCTCTAAGGTATTTTTCTGGTAGCTGCGGCATTGTCATTATTAGTATTTCTATTGCTTGATTTTGCTTTCTCTTGGTGAATTGTAA